TTGAAGCTCATCCACTTTAGTTGAATCCACATATCAGTTTCTGCTGTGTGCAGCAAAACTAATGGAGAGTGGTTTTTTCATAGATTTTAGTCTTCAATTTGATTTTTTTTTCAATGAAATGTGTGGCAGTGGATGCAATATAACTTTACTGATCATCTGTCAAAAGATGTCTGATGCCTGCTGTAAATGGTAGCCAGGGAAATAGGGCTTATGATGCTGGCAGATAAAGCAACAAAATTATGTCACTCCACAGCTACTTTCTTATGTCTGATTTTATATATATACTTTTCTGCTGTGTTTTCTTTCAGAGGAGTTTGGGATTTTTCACTTATATGTTTGGAGAAAAAACACGTAGCTATCTTTTATCTTTTTTTTCCCTTGAACTGCACTTCAGTTGTTAACCAGCTAAACCAAGATACTTTTCCTGTCTTTTTTTTCTTGTGTGATGTGACTGTTTCCTAGTGCTTAATTAAAGGATGTAAGTGTATGGAATGGTGTTGTTTTTAGCAGTTCTAGGTATTGGTTCTGCATGATTTAATAATCTTTATTTATTGCTTGAAGTCTTTAGTTTGCATATTTTTTCCTCTATAAACGAAGCGATGATCCAGCCGGCTGTGTTGGCTATTGTTCTTAATTTCATTTAGAATGTTCTGAAGAAGTGTAGAATTAGTGGTACAAAATGCATTGTAGTTATAATCAGAAAGGCTCGTTCAGACAAAAAAAAAAAAAAAAGCAATTAGTGACTAAATTGGGAGTTAGACAGTCTAAATCTAGAAGTGTAAGCCATATGATCTGTACCTAACCCTTTAGGAGCTTCTGGCTGTTCAGGCAGCGGGGTGGCACAGGGATGATCATAGCCATCTCTTGTCCTCCCATCACTGCTAACGTGTGCCCATCTGGGCTCTGTAGTTAGGAATTTGGTGTCAGAAAGTTGGAGACCTGTCCTTGTGCCCATCTCAGGTTGAAGGTCTTCAAATCTAGACTAGAGGTTAAACTGGGGTATGGGTACTCTTTTCACCTCTCCTGTGAAAGCAGACAGGTATTACATGGAGCTAGAAAAGAGAATGGGAGAAGTCCTCTGCTTCCAGGACCATTTATGTACTATTTCATGTTGGAAAATATATACACAGGGCTGGAACTCCTCCTTTCTAGCAGGAGAAGGCACCTGGGACTACAGTCCTGCTCTCTGTGGGTCTCGCTGGGGCTTCCTCTCCTTTCTGTACAGTGGCATGGCTTGCATAGGAGGAGTGGAAAGTGACTGATCCCTGTGTCTAGGGCACTCTTCGGAGAAGTGGCTGGGGTTTTGAGTTGCCTCGGTTTCCCATTTGGGTACTCGAACACTGAGCTATTGTATAAAAGATGCAAGATCACCATCATTAACTTCTTTTTCTTATGCCATTGATTTTTAAAGAGCAGTGAGCCAGTTCTCCATTCCCATCAGGAATGACTGCCTAACTCCAAGAGAAGGTTTCAGGCTTGATTCCCAGTCTCACATAGGTCCTAAATTCAGGGCTGCAGGGAGATGCAAAGATAGGATATCAGACATACTTTGTATTCAGTGTTTGCCATTCTCATCTTGTCCTCATCCCACTCAGTGTACTAGCTGTTTTGATTCCTCCTCTTGCCTTGAGACATGAGGTAGCAAATGGGTTTTAAATTCCAGTTAGATACTCAAGTAGTCCCTTTTTTGGGGGCGTAGAGCAAAGTAACTTAAAAAAAAAAAAGCACCTTGCTGACACACTGGTACTGTATGAATAGCTTTTGATTGATTGACAACCATGTCTGTTAATTTGGTTCCTTAACTGCATTGTTTTGAATCTAAATACAGATGTTTATCACTGCAAACGTAGCATAGCCAGAGTAAAGCAGTGTGTATTCTGCTCTGTCTTATGTGCCGCAGCAAATCTATCAGCCAGATTTTGATTCTGGAATCCCTTTTGCTGATGATGACATATTAATGAGCAAAAAGACAGCTTGACTTTCAGACAGTAGCTTGAGCTTACAGTGCAAGCAGTTAAATTAAAAAAAAAAACAACCCAGCAACAAAAAAACCAACCCCTTTTTGACTGGTAAACTGAACAGGAAAAATAGGAGGCCACTGATGGAAAATAAAATAAACACAAAATACCAAGATGTCATTTTAAGAGTAATTTTTCTGGCCATTTCCATCCTTGAAAACTGTTAGAACAGTCAAAGTGCATATATTCTAACCTGAAATTAAGGCCAAGACTATTATTCACCAGAGAGAGCACTTAAAGCACTTTACTCCAATTATATGTCTGTTATTCAATACAAGAAGCTGTTAGTACCCACTGAAGCAATTAATCTCTGAAGTCTTGTAGTTGAGATTGATTTCCACAGGGTGGTGACAAAGACTTGTTAGATCAAAAGTCAGAATAAAACCTTTCTGATACAACTTCGATTTCAGATCTTCGTAGGAATATTTGTATGGGCCCCTATCCCTGCTACACTCATATTTTAGCATATTCACCACCAATAAGCAAACTCATTATTGATTTTTTTCCCCCTTTGATTTACCCTGTTTTTTGATGCTGTTTCTAGGCTTTAGGTGTTAATATTAAGTGAAAAAAGGATTGTGCTAGCTTCCAACAAAGCAAGAAGGTTAAAATAAAGTTATCCTAAAGTAACGGAATGAAAAATCAGTATCAAATGAGGGGATGGGAGGAACTGGCAGCTTCAGGGCAAAGTAAAGATAATTGACATTTTTTGGCAGCCATAGGGATCAAAAAAATTGGCTTAATCCCTCACCTGTATATTCCCGAAGAAACGTGGGTTTTGTTTTGTAAAAATAAGTTCAACAACCAACTTGCAGCTGGTGAGGAAAATAATGACTGCCAGTAGTGCAACTAGGGCAGGGGGAAGAGGGCATCGGTGCCGACTATGAGCGGGTGCCAGAATCACGGCCCTATGCCCAGTATGCATGTATGGGTGGAGCCGGGGGAGAGGGAACAACCAGTGCACCAGGGTTAGGAAATATGCTGACAGTCCCCGACCCAAAATTATCCTTGTATTTAAAGCAAGATATAAATTTAAAAAGAAAGATGCCAGCCTGCAGACAGGTATGTAAGCAGTGAGACTTTCTCCAGCTTCCCTTTTCTGACATTAATAAAGCGCTCTTTTGGCCTCGAAACCTACCTATCTGGAGTACAAAACTACAAACAGCGAGAGGCCAGTACTAGACTGCAATTCCCTCTAATGAGATCTGCAGTCGTTATAGGCAGGTGAGTGTTGGGCCCTGGGTACAGATGGGATATGTTCTTGTGGGAAGAATGAGCTAGATGACATTTAAATCCCTCTTTGTGGTCTTGCTCATTCTTCAAAGAAATAAGAGGAAAATGGTTCTTTTCATTAGTGGAAAATTTTAAATACCAGACTAATAAGGAAAAAACAACTTGGCTCCTTTCTTACAACCTGCATTCAGTCCTGCCCTCCCCAGGTGTATTTGCATTATTTGCACAAAGAATAAGGGCCCAAATCTAATCGAATTCCCTGGTTCGTATTTTTTTTAATTTACTCTGTGCTTCATCTTCTCTCTTTGTTTATATCCTTATGCATTAGGTTTTCTTTTAATTTCATTTAAACCGGTAAAATGCATAATCTTATAATATGCTTTTACCAAAAACTGTAAATGATGGGTTTTTATTACTATGATCTATATAATTTTATTGTCATTTGTATCGTATTGTTTTAGCAAAAGCTGTAAATAAACTACTACTGCTTAGGTACAGGGTGAATAAATAATTACATTCTTCTTTCCC